GGAACCCCGCTTACCTCCAGAGACATAAGCTTTGTTTTCCTGCATAGCTCAAAACTCAAGTGCTCTTTTATAAATACAGTTCACTCCAAAGCAAACAGCAGAATGCTGATCACTTACTCTGAACCCATCAATGATACAAGTGATCTCCATTTCAGTTTAGTTCATCTTAGATGTACAGCTTGTAGAATGAAGTACAAATAGCAATGCATTTCACAAGCTTCATACCTTGCTGGGGTCCGGAGTGATCTGGGGAAGACTGAGCAATAGGTTAACTTTCCTGTCTCTCTCCATTGGTAAAAGCAGCAGGAGCTGCCAGACTGAGACTTTTTTTAGCTCAACTCAGTCACCTCTCAGTGGGTTTTCCTGTAGACCAGGCAGGGAGGTGTCTGCAATCTAGGTAATGGAGAGCACTACATAGCTCCAGTAGTCACGGGAAGTGTAGGATTTAGATCAGAAAAGGCCATGTGAATAGATGTTGACAAGTTTCTTCATTTTTAAGTAATTGATAATTGTACATTTCTATATATTTACATAAAAAGAAAATTGTACTAGGAGGTTTTGTGAAGCAACTGTAATAACAAGGTTTAATAGCTTGCAGGAGCCGTTGGATATCCAGGGCGCTCTTGCTGTAAGAAGTGACCGCACCTTAGGACAATACCTTCAGAGGAAGCAGCCTTACCCAGGAGGTAACAGATGGGAGAAGTCACCCTTCCTGAAATGACCAGGAAGAGGTAAGAGGTTTGCAGGATTACTCAGGACATGAGGAATCAGGTTGGAAGGCAAAGAACGGCACCAGTTCATTTGGGATCTGTAGAAAAAAAACAACCAGGCACAAACAGCTGTTTAAAATGAAGTTCAAGTAAGTGAAAGGCTTGCTAATGTCAGCATGCTGAGGATGGCAGAGAATGCAGTCTTCATCAGCATCAAAGGAGTGCGCAATGGTGAGCTGAAAATTCAAACAAACTTCAGTATTCATTAAGCCAAGCCTGAGATTTCTGATTTTAGACACAGCTGCATCTGTAATACCAGTTATGTTATAGAGAGTGAGCCAGGAATCCCTTTCATTTACACTAGAATGAACGAGGACCAGCACCACCAACTTTTACAGTAGAATATTGGAATCGAAACAGTGCAAGAGTGGAATCAGACCTTTGCAGTCGTCTAAATCCTTTATCTCTGTAGGTAGCTTGATTTTACAAACTCATTGACAGAAATATACAGCACCACTCTGCCTCTGAAAGAAACTACTTTTAGAGAACGGTCTTTGCAAACCACAGCTTTGTTCTGTATCCAAGCCAAAAAATGTAAAATACATCAAGTGAGTCAGAAGCAGTCAATTAGATTATCACTGAACAAAAAAAACAACCCTATATAAAGAAGGCTGTTAAAGAGATAAATATCAGCAGTTTCCTCCTGCCAGAGATCTCCTCCCAAAATACGTATTCAAAGTTGTCTTTTATATCTCATCTATTATTAAGAGTCAGACTTGGAAAAATTTCTGGGCTTTTATGAACTGAGTTACTAAACTCATGATTGCAAGTGTAGCACCCCAAAATTAAGAAGACAGTAGTTTTACTTATGATGGTCTTTTCTTTATTCAAATATCCATTGGAGTGCCAGCAAAAACTCTTTATTGCACTAACCAGGACGAATGTTATATTTTTTACCTTGGTATGCTGGAAATGAAATACATTGTGAGTGTATTTCAACTCAAAGATAAGAAAGGTCTTAATAGTTACGATTTTAATAATACATTATCCATATAGCACACATTTGTAAGCACCTAATAAACTCATGAACGTTACCTTGAAAATGCATTTCTTTTAGGTCACAGTGTAAGAGTACTATTTGCATGCAGGAATTTTGTCCATAGGCAATTGACAACTGAGAATACTGACTGAATCTTTTTATTTCTGTTAGCTCTGCACTGTTCAAAGCATAAGAAAGAGAATGAAATTTTAATCCGACACCTGCACTCTAATAAGAATGCTACATTCTGTTTTCAGAATTATTACAGATCTCAGACCAGGAAAAAGACAGCTTGAATTTCAAACCTAAGCTTCAGTTTGGAAAGCCAGCAGTTAGAAAAACAACGTCAGCTTGTGCTCAACAGAACACAAGTACACCCTACTCATCAAAGAAACATCCATTTATTTTCTAGCACCAGAGATTTTTTTGTGTACTTCCTCCTCAGCCTATCAAAGCATGTTACTTAACAGAGCAAAGGTGAGATTAGTTGCACTTCTGTAAACTCTAAATTTATCTGAATTATGGATTTATGGGTGCTGATTGTTTGTGTCATAACTTCTTAGTGAAGGTTCACCAGAGCAGTGACTTGGGGGTGGCTCCAACAAGAGTCCAGCATAGATAGATGTCTGAAGAAGCCAGAGATCTGGTAGTGCCTACTCATACATGACATCAATAAAGGCAGAGTGGAGCCCAGAGGGCACTGGGAGTTTCAGAAACAGTGACAGATATTACGTGCTGCAAAAGCTGACTCAGACATTTGTTAGGACAGAGGAAGAACGTAATTATTACCTGAATAGATCCTTTTACTCACGCACATTGTATCAATTTAACTAAAATTGATTCAAAAACCCAATGCAGTTAAGATCCCTATTGGCATCTTCTGCAGATTTTATGTGGGAAATCTGTTTGTGTCACCTAAATGCAATTCCCAGGAGTAGCCCCAGTGTGCCTTGTCAACAGGCAGCAGGTGAAGAAAATTTCTAATGCTGGCTGCAGGTGGGGCAAAATCTGTTGTCTGGTTTCAAAAACAAACACAGCAGTATAGAGCACTGGGAAGCCAGTCATAGGGCTTAGCTGCCAGGTGTGCATCACTTGCATCCTTGGTTTAAGGCAGAAGTAAAACATAACTTTTTTGTAAGATTGCCTGCAAATGCCCTTCCTTGGAAAGAATTTTAGCTTTGTTGTATTAGAAATGAAGAACTGCTGTTCTTCTTCCTCAGGTTGCTGTGCAGTCCAGAACAGTATTTTTATACAAATGGCAGTATCTCCCAGGCACCTTTCAGAGATACAAAGCATGCAGATGGAGAAGAGAAAGAGTAGGCCTCCAACGTCGTCTGTTTGACTGTCGGGAATGCAGGATACTGTCACATTCCACTAGAATCAAATGGCAAGTCATTTCCTTGTCATCCTTCCTATGTGTAAAAGAGTTTAATATTTGTCCCTCACTCAAAAGCCCTAATCAGTACTCCAGTTCACATTTCACAGAGTACCTGAGTTGGCATTAAACAGGAGTGACAAAGTGACAGAAGAGGCCACAAAGCATGGCTGGAGAGCATGCCATGTTCTATTGACAGGAGCGTTCATGGTGCTGCAGTGCCTCGTATTTGCTATAGGTGAAACGGGGTCAAAGACAGTGCATCAAATGGATGGATGGATTTACCAGAGGGTTGCTTTCTTTCCAAGATGGACTCACATCTTCTTGTCAGAATCATACAGAGCAGCATCAGATTCACGAGGAATCCCTAAATTGTCTGCAGAAGGAAAGCATGTGCATACATGGGGGGCCCCTTGCTACCCGTTACAGTGCTAAGGACAGCTATTGCCCAGATTAACACTCGCTGGACCAGCATCTCAGCAGCCCTGTGGAAAATGCAGTGTGCTTAATGCAACTTTTATCTGAAGGTCACTTGTATTTTCCCCCTCACACTGAACTCTCCTCAACTGAACTGGAAAAGTGTGGTCAATGGTTTTGTGCAGGGAATGTGTCTCTTTGTTCTCTAAATCACAAAAATCCTTTTCCCTGTTTACTGATTGGCAAAAATACATTTTCCTAGGAAAGGATTTTCATTGGAGGGGATGATCACCAGTCAAGTGAACATCCACCCTCTGTCTTTGGAGGGGCTTGTGTGGGGCATGAGCTTGTGGCAGAATGCAGCCACAGGCCCATTGTCAACACATCAGTTAACATCTAACTTGAAATATGTTTGTGTTTCTGCCTAGCATCCCTTGATCCTTCCTTATTTCTCTTGTTTCTGTAAGCAGCCTCCTCAGTTACTTGTTAATGGCAAGTGAAAATATTTTGTGCTGAGCAGGGGGAAAGGGAGTTGAAGAAATTCCAGACATAAATTATGAAGCATTAATTACCTTAATAATCAGAATATAATCACAAAGGGAAACTAAGAGGCCACTTTTCCAGAAAGTCCCAGTCCCAGAGACATCCTCCTTTTAGACAAAAAAAAGAGCCGTGGTCTGGGGTTTCCAGGCAATGCAAGGAAACACTGTACACTTTCTGATACTCCTTTGATTCTCATTGCTCATGAAATCCAGCTGAAGTAGGGAATTTGGCTGCCTTGGAGCCATTTCTTTGCAGACCCCAATGCAAGAAATGCTGTAAAAGAACAGAACAGCAAAGGCCCAAGTGGCGGTGGGAATGATCCGCCTGCTTTTTCTTTGCCAGCAACCAACAGAGACTTCATTGCAGCCCAGAAAATGATCCTTTTATTTTTAAGCAGGGGCAATATGGTAGCAATAATATTTCAGCAAGTTTCTGAATTGTGCCTATGACAACATGACTGTTGTGAGTAAATGGAAAGCTTGTTATCTCCTCTGCTGAGTGCTAGTTTCAGAAAGGGAGAAAATTCAGTCAACATGAGAAATCTCACTTATACTAGCAGTGAAAGCTGGGCAGGAGTTTTAAAATGAAGAAAGCTGTCTTGCTATGCATGTGAGAAAAACCGCTTTAAAATTGCAGACTTTTTTAATATCCAACAGCAGCAACAAAAATTGCCAAAATCAAATCAATTTCTCCAGCAAACAACTAAGGATGTCAAAGCAAGTGACACGGAATACGATCTTTTGGTTCATATGTGCTTTTCTCGAGGTAGATAACCCAGGGAACATAACTGATACATGGTTGGACAGATTTTTATAATCGCCTCCACCCTCTGGTCAATATATTCTTCTGTTTCACTGTAGGTCATCCTCATTTCCTCCTTGCTGGGTACAGCTGGTGGATTACTATGCAAACTGTACCACACAGAAGACTTAACTCTGTCTTCTAGCATGGGGACCCTCTGGCACTTACAATACATTTTAATTTTATTCTGTATTTCCGTGCTGAATACCACAGGGTAAGTAGCACAGTACTGAATGTAGCTTAGCTGTTAATGGTAAATATCTTTTCTTCACTTTTTAAATGTGGAATGTTTCTTCACTTTTTAAATGTGGAATGTTGTACAATTGAACCATGTCATTTTTAAAATGAAGAAATAATTCAATTTTGTTGTTGCCTAATTCTGCACTGGCTGGCTCCTGTCTGTAAGAGAAACCTGTAACATGTGGATTTCTAATGGCACTTCTGAAGAGCAGAGATCTTGAAAAAATAACCACAATAGTTATAAACCACTTTTGACTCTGAATATACCTACAGTAACATTTGCGCTAGGACTTGCCTGATGTATAACAGTTTAACGATAACACTGAATAGAGAACAAGTGGTAACTTGTGACAGCTTTCCCTTTCTCATGGAAGAAGAAACACAGGAATGAGCAGCGAAGAAAATTTTCTTACTTTATCTGTCTTCATGTATTCTCTTTCCTCCTTGGCCTTAGCTCAGTCTGTTTTCCAGTTGCTTGCTGCATTTCATTGATTAATTGATTGCGTGATATTTGCTCCTAGTGTCCCTAGTTTCTCTGAATACTATTGCTTAGATTTTGAGGGGCAGTGGGGACGTTCACTGCAATGCGTTCACTTAAGGACAGATTCTCTATACTGTGTCAAGCACAACAAGGATAATTAAGGAGGGGGCACCCCAGAGGTTGGAACTGAACCCTGCCTCCTGAAACTGTGGACTACTGTCTGAGTATGTCAAGAACTACTATTGTAGCCTTGCAGTCCTGGAAATCCCTTCCCTATGCAAAACATCCAAAGAGCAGAGCCATTTACGCTGTGATCTGTGGTGGGATTTTGGTCTTGTGTCAGCTCATCTCTGCAGGACTTTGTAGCACCACAAGGACTATGCATTTGTAAATGCTTTTTTTCTGCAGCATTTTCAGGGTAAATTAGAAGAGCTGAATGAGATGACAGCTTTGTGTCATGAGAGATTTGCAGGGGTTAAAGGAAATATATAGCCTTCCAACAAATAACAGCATTACACGGTATACTAGTTTACTGACATTTACACACTTTGCAACAGCGGGGATGACGATGCCATGAGCAAGTTAATAGCAAGTCTTTGCTATTATCCTGGTATTGTCTGAACTGAGCTGAGCTGCATCCATCCATCCCTTCCATAGCTCCCTGTACCTAGGAGAGCTGGTCTTCTTTCAGTTCAGTGGGATAAAGAGCAGAGGATCCTTCCACACTAGATGAAGTGAACATATCCTACCTTTGACTCACTCTCAGAGCTTTATCATGAAGGACTAAGTACATATGGGAAGAGAAAGAATCAGATATGGATGAAACCCTGGATCTATTCAGTTTTTCAGTGAAACACCCAAAGATATATGTTTGAGGTCCCAACATTTTTTCTTAAACAATTTTTGAGTTACTAATTCCACAAAGGCTTCACTGTGTTGTTTTTCTTGGCAGGATCAAGCGAAGACCAACTGGTGGCTTGACAACATGGGATCCTGAAACAGGTAACTTCATGTCATTAGTGCTGTTAACATCTGAGGCAGATTTTGAACATACTAGCTCCTCTTCCTTATTTTAATGTGTTGTATTTCAGCTTACCTCACCAGATGTGATTTTAACAACAACTCAAGACCATTTTGTGACTGGACCCAACCTTGCAATGCCAACCACGGAATGTGGATACGAACCAAGCATGACACTCCAACTGGTGGAACGGGTCCTAGTGGAGACTATCCTGATGGAAGTAAGTGCTCGGTTGTGGCATTGTTGATTTCCTTTTGAAGACAGCTTGACTACCTTTATTCTTCTTTCTTTGAAAGAGAAAAGAGATTCATGAAGCCTGTTGAAATGTGTCAGTTTCATTTCATGCTGACACCTGTCTTCTTTGACTTTTCACTTGTCAGTTCTGAGTAAATTAAACTGGGTTGCCCTGTTGTGGGTTGGAAATCTTTATCAGTGCATGGAAGTAGAAAGAAGCTAATTATGTGATACTTAAGGCCTCATAGAGAATGCAGTGACGTGCAACAGATCATTATTCAAGATAGGTCTCGTGGCCAAATTACACCGTTATCAGCTAATGGCAAAAAATGTGATGATCTCTGTACGGGCACTAGATAATGTTCACGCTGGCAAAGTACTACAAGATCAACTCTGAAATTAAATAATATCTTTAAAAAGCTTGTCCTCAGCTACATGTGATTGAAAAATTGGGGTCCTACATAGTCATATCATCAAACAAGTGCTTAGTATGTCTCCATCTCTATCTGTTTGAACTGCTATCCTTGCACTAGCAGATCCATTTATGGGGGATCAGTCTGCAGTCATACTGCTTTCTGTAATTATCCCGAGACTGAAAGATCAGCTACTGTCAGACTCAGTAAGTGGATTGGAACAGTATTAGTTGGGATTTTTGCTAAATAATTTTCTGCATTTTTACTATTTTTAATTTGGATTCACACAAATAATAATTGTATTGCTTTTTGAATTGACGCAGACCATATAGCTTTAAATGTGACTTACATTTTCTTGGCAACTAAAACATATGACTGAATGTTAGAAGCTATGTGTGGAGCCATACTTAACCATATGCAAATGGTCATTCATTTCTTTTTGATTCCATTCCATAGTGAGATGGGAGAGACTTGACTTTAACTGCACTGGGGAAATGTAGCTTTGACTTTAGCCCATGGGAAGAAAAAACTTCAGCCCTAGTAAAGCAAAATGAGATCTCATATTGAACCAATTCAGACTAAAGCATTTCAAATCCTAAAAGAAATACTGTGAGTTTCTGAATTTTGAAAAGTTTTGTTGCTTTTCATAATGTCAAACGTAAATATTTTCATGGATATATCTGCATTGCTTTCTGTCCCTTCCATTTTGAGACAAAACCAAATGCTGATGGGTTGGAATTTTCCTTGTGCTAGGGATTTGCTCATCTTGAGACCAAAATATTTAGAAAAAAATATATCTCGCAAGAGAAGGTATATAGCAGGTTGCATTATTTTCCTTTGAGGAAACATTAAACTGAACATGGATCAGTGGAGCACTGTGTTTGGAGATGCTGTTTCTTGAAAGAGGCCTACACCTTTATCTGTGATGCCAAAATAACTGTTCATGTGAGATGGGATGTATTTGCTTTGCTCTCCAGCTCACATTCTAGTTTAGATAACTACATGGTGCTAACCGTTGCAATGTAAATTCCAAACACCCTCTACTTTGTTTCTTTGAACTGCTAATGATGCCCTTGATTTCTTCTAGAGTTGGGTTGTACTTCAGTTTTAAATGACACCTAACAAGTTACAAAGATTCAACCATATTTTAATTTTTTTCACTCTGCAGAAGGCTATTTCATCTACCAAGAAGCAAGTAATCTAATCCCATTCAACACTAACAGACTTGAGAGCCCAGATACTCTAGTTTCTGAAAAAATATGCATCGACTTCTGGTACTATATGTTTGGGTCAGAAGACATGAATGAGCTGAGAGTGCTTATCCAAGACAGCACAGGGGAGTCTGTGGTGTGGAGTCGGAAGGGAAACCAGAGTTCCTTGTGGAACTATGGTTCCATCACTCATGCTTTTCCAACACAGAGAACAATAAAGGTATTATATTTTCAGAATAAATTTCTCTGTACAGTGTCAGCATTTGTTCTCCCCTTGCAGGCTGCAAAAGGTTGTGCATGTAAACTAGAAAATATAATCAAGATTTGCTTGGTTTATATTTTGTAAATATAATGGCCTCATGCTTTGTGACAATGAACTAAGAGAAGAAACAAACAACCCCCTGAGTTTTTAGGGGACAAAATATATTTAATTTTCTCTCTTTTTTCTTCCTTCCCTCCTTCATTTTATCACAAAGTCAAGGACTTTAGGTGCCTTAATTAAATGCAGGTTTGTCTGGTATGAGTTAATGTTTGAACTTTAGGATGCTGCCTACATTGGACTCCTGCATAGAGTCTAGACAACTAGTTACCATAAATCATCAGTCAGCAAAACAGAGGACAAAGTTTCTTGAAGTCCTTACCTTATTACAGAATATATATTTTAGGCTTCTGAGGGAAGGTAGAAAAACAGTTATAGCCTCAGTTTACTTCCCGCCTTTAGAGATAGACCAGAAAGAATATTTTGAAAACATGCTAAGGGAAATGGTCTCATATTTGCCTAAACAAACTCTGATGCAGTGATTCATTTTGCATCCTGCCTAGGTCATTTTTGAGGCTGTCCGAGGACTGACAGAGTACGGGGATACAGCACTGGACAATGTGAGAGTAAGGGATGGATCCTGTGGTAAGTCTGTGTTTGCACCTTAGTGTATACTCCTTCCTCATCTTTGTTTAAGCTGTTGACCATTACTCAATTCCATATACAATACAGAAACTCCTCATAACTTTGAACCACAAAAGAGAAATAACAAAAACTTTACAGCTCGCTTCATTTGAATGTTATGTTTTGTTGTAGTTTCTTCCTAAATCTTTCCACACCACCTCAAACATTCAGAATAAGCTATCCCTTTCTCTGCAAATGTGACCATTTTCACAAGGTCCAGCAAACTTTACCTTCACTTTAAGTCTGAAGTGCATTTCTAAACCCATCCAAGGCTATGCACATTGGTCTTGGATTCCAGATTAAATGCTCTAATCAGCATTTTACAGCAAATCTCAATTCATGCAAGCTCAGCAAATACACAGCACTGCTATATGTCACAAAAAGAAATAGCGGTGAGCCAGTAAAGCTGAGTTGCACTACCAGCTCTGACTATGAATCAGCAATTTGAGCTTGATCCCTGACCCTGTAACAAATCAGCCAAGATTGGCACAAGCTGTGGATGACTAGGATCTGGAAGTGAATTACAGTTTCATCCCGTCTTTACTGACAAGCATGCAATACTTACAAAATGGGAATTGAACAAGAAACTTGCTGAAAACCATATAGAAACTGTCATTAGGTCCTAATAGGCCTTGCTCTCTGTGAAATACTGCTCATATAATGACAATAAAATGTTTCAAATTTACACTAGCCAGGACAAAGATTTCCATTCAGGTCCACACCATCTGAACATATAATTTTCTTTAAAATTCTCTGAAAAATACTTGGAGCCTTTTTTTTTTTTGAGGTCTAGGGAGACCCAGTTCTTCTTTTTCCCAGGCGTATTAGCACATGATTCAGCCACTGGATGGTGCACTAACGTAACTACAAGAGACAAGAGGAACGTGCTCCTCTCTCTCTTCAACTGTATGGCTACTAATATGATGAAAGTTAAGTGAATTATTAGGTCTCGTAAAAGTCAAAGTCCTCCCAACCTTTTTGTTTGTACAAGAATGTTTGATTGAATAGACATTTTAATCACACTCATGAAAACTAAATATATGTCCATTTGTCACATGAAAAATTAGCTTCCAAGGCAACTTTAGCAAGCAGTCTTTAGGTTATGATGTTTGATATTCATACTGTCATTTGCAGAACTTCTTCACCTTAGATCTCAAAGAACAATAATCTTAGGAAGAGGTTTTCTTCTGGTTTTTTTTTTTCCTCAGCTTACAACAAAGTTAACTTAAAGCTTGTTGGGAAGTATCTATTGTGGGAATACAGCCATTATCAGGATTCCTGTAATTTTTCACCAATGTTGAAAGAGCAAAAAGAGCAATTCTGGGCTAGATATGCAAAAACTGCATTTATACTGGAGTAGGGAGCTGAATGTGAAGAAATGGGCATATAAGAAACAGGTGTACAAGAAACCAGTGCATGCAAAGGAGCTGATCCCATTTTGCAGGCAGGTTATTACAAAATATCTTCAGCTTTGAAGTTAGAGCTCATTAAGTGAACAGGATCATTTTGTGCAGAGATTTATCAGTATAGTAGTGTATACTAGACTTCAAGTTATGTGAAGTCTGTTGGCTTCTTCTAAATTATAATCATAAGTATCTTGCAAAACCCCCACATCCAGCTGAGTTTGAATCACATGGTTAGTGCAAAAGCAGTACCATCATAGTATGTAGTTACTGCATCATTATTCAAAAATCTCTAACTTGTCCTTGTATGACTTGTTTTCTATATTACAACTTAATCCTTATAATGTTAGCAGTGTCAGTAATATGGAAGACCAACTGCCTTACTTGTGGATTCATTTAGGTGATTATATCTAGCGGGGTTCTGCAGGGATCACTTAGGGCCAGTGCTCTTTAATGTCTTCATAAATTACTTGGATGCAGGACTGGAAGGATTACTATCTTTGCCGATGACACAAAACTGGGAGGAGCCGTTGACACTCCTGAGGGCAGAGAGGCCCTGCAGAGAGATCTAGACAAATTAGAGAGCTGGGAAATCACCAACTGTATGAAGTTTAACAAGGGCAAGTGCTGGATTTTGCACCGGACACAGCAAAACCCTCAATGTACATACAGACTGGGGAATGAGAGGCTGGAGAGCAGCCCCACGGAGAGGGATCTGGGGGTTCTGGTCGATGGCAAGTTGAACATGAGCCAACAGTGTGCCCTGGCAGCCAAGAGGGCCAACCGTGTCCTGGGGTGCATCAAGCACTGTATTTCTAGCTGGTCGAGGGAGGTGATTGTCCCGCTCTACTCTGCACTGGTGCGGCCTCATCTTGAGTGCTGTGTGCAGTTTTGGGCGCCACAGTACAAAAAGGATACAAAGCTACTAGAGAGTGTCCAGAGGAGAGCCACGAAGATGGTGAAGGGTTTAGAGGGGAAGCCGTATGAGGAGAAGCTGAAATCACTTGGTCTGTTCAGCCTGGAGAAGAGGAGACTGAGGGGAGACTTCATTGCAGTCTACAGCTTCCTCACAAGGGAAGGAGGAGGGGCAGGCCCTGATCTCTTCTCCCTGGCGACCAATGATAGAACCCGAGGGAACGGCAGGAAGAGGGGAGGTTTAGGTTGGATATTAGGAAAAGGCTCTTCACCCAGCGGGTGGTGGAGCACTGGAACAGGCTCCCCTGGGAGGTAGCCATGGCACCAAGCCTGACAACATTCAAGAAGCATTTGGACAACACCCTCAGACATATGGTGTGAATTTTGGGGTAGTCCTATGCAGGGACAGGAGTTGGACTCGATGATCCTTGTGGGTCCCTTCCAACTCAGGACATTCTATGATTCTATGATATACCTATAGTGCATCTATAAGTAGGTTGGAAAGCATTGTTCTCCATGAATCAATTCATCACTTGATTATCTCCTTGTACACTGACTGTTATTGCACACTCAGTGCACGGTGGAAGGCTCACAAGGGTGCAACAGGAGAGCACCTGGATGAGGAGAGTTGTTCTTTGTTCTGCAAAGGGGCAGGAGTGAATGCACGCATGCTCTGAAGGTTTTAGTCAGTCTGTTGTACTTCCAAAGATTCAGATCCATCACTCATCTGCATGTCACCAGGTGAATGAACATGACATCAAGAGAATACTCACCCTGGTGTTGCTAGCTGACACATACAAGTACACCAAGAGGACCACTTCTTTTGGAGGATATCTTTGTGATGGATAAAGAATAGGTGGAGAAGATGCTAATATTTGTTAGCAAGCAGAAGTAGGCAGGAGGAAAGACTTCACAACACGACTCTTTCTTGTGTCTGTCAGCAGAAGGCTCTTACAGCTGTCACATTCCTAAGAAATAAATATAATTTTGAAGAAACAACTAAACTCTCTGATTAGAAACCACCAGTGCCCTAAGAGTTATTTTGTTTCTGCTATATGGTGTCTGCTGGCAGGCTACTCACTCACAGACCTGCCAACACGTGCAGACAGTATGACCTTCGTGCCTTAACATACACACCAGAGGGAGTCACATATCCAATTGTAAATACACTTCCAGCTCCAGAGAAGCATGCTGGCACAAGCTCAGTCACTGTCACCAAGCTAACAATCAGACGAGCTTTCCTAAGCGCTCAGAAGACCCACACATCCTCATTTTAAATAGAGGCAGTTCCACTTGCTTCAGTGAAAAACTTCTAACTTTATACTGGTGAAGAATAAGTGGAAATTCATGTATGTTGGTGTGTAAGTAGTGTTCACCCTGTAATGTTATAACTTATTGTATTGCCTTCTCTTTTATACTAACAGAAGCTGTCCCTAACCCTGTACCACCAACAACTACAACAGAATCTTCACCACCTTCATTGGCACAGAATTTTAGCCAATCACATATGCTAGTCAATGGGTTGTAGAAGGGCACCTACATTTTTTACTACCAGTGCTACTTATTTGCTTCATGTAATTTCTTTGGGTATCTCTCTATGGCATTGCCTTATGCCATATAAATCTGCCTTTTCTGTTTCGGTTCTTCCATATGTAATTTATAAAATGGGGATATTGTGGTTTCAAGTAGGTACAAGCCTCAGCCTGGGGAAGGGCAGCTTGAGGAACATTGTGCTTCTCGTGGCAGTCAGTGTAGTTTCTGTCTTGAACAAGAGCTGCCAGCCCTTGGGTGAAGAGACTCTTTGTGACAGGGATACCGTGGAATGACACTCTCTGATTCCTGCCCAGGGCCTGTCTGGTCACGGCGTTGGGTGTTTGGGAAGGGTGGGCCAGCTGCCTGCAACAAATGTCCCATGTCGGTGCAGAGCTCCTCTAGCTCTCTTTTGTGCTAGGTCCTGCTACACTTATCTCCACCACACCCTTGTCAAGCACTACAACACAGCCTCCACGCACGCCGTCAACACCAAGACCCACACCGAGCTCAGGTACTGCCGTGTTCCATTCCCATCTTCTACTGCTTGTTGAAACTGTTCATTTCACTTCCTCCAAGGCCCACCACCACGCTATGGAGTGTCTGTAGTGAAGGGGCTGCGCGGCTCTTTCTATCCTCCCGCTATGCTGGTGGATGAGCACTTGAGCGCTGGAATTTTTGCTGAGGAGACACTGGGCAATCCCTGCCCTGGGCCTGCCTGGTCACAGCGTTGGGTGTTTGGGAAGGGTGGGCCAGCTGCCTGCAACAAATCTCCCATGTCGGTGCAGAGCTCCTCTAGCTCTCTTTTGTGCTAGGTCCTGGTACACTTGTCTCCCGTCCATGTTTGTTACTGGCTGTGCTAGGCACTCTGCTTATGGATTTCCACTTGGCTGGCCATCCTTACCTGTCCATGACCATGCTAGGGATGTAGGTGTGCCCTGTGTGACATGAGGAAATGGTGTCCCCATCCTCACTGTAGAAACTCTGCTTTCCTTTCTGCACCATATCCATCTCCCCCAGGAGACTGCAATTTCACCTGCACATTCGACAATGACTTCTGTGAGTGGGTCCAGGCAGATTACAACAGCATTGACTGGATAAGGAACAAAGGTCCAACGCCCACGCAAAATACCGGCCCCTCCTCTGACCACACAACAGGAGGTAGGAACAGCAATCTGTACACAGTAGACCTTCAGGCAGAGGGGTGTCCCTGGGAAGGCAGTGACAAACCTCTTCTAAAAGCAAATACAGGCCACGTGTGTCCAGGCCTTGATCCAGAGCCGTTTGTGAGAGTCTCCCCGAGAGCCAGAGCCTTCCTTTAGGAAGATTTTCAGCCCTGGGAATCAGTCAGTGGTACCCACAGGTCAGGCAAGGACCTGCCATGCAATGGGGAAAGTAATGCAAAACTTGATGACACGGCTGTCTCAGGGGAACAGGAAGGGGTCTCTCTTTTAGGAGACGCTGGTTTCTGCAGAAGACAATGATGAGTGGGCCCCGAAGCTGCAGAGCCATGTGAGCAGGGTTCATAGGTGGACCCAGGGCTGGGGAGGGTTATGCCTAGCTAAGGACCTGTGTTTGCTCTCCCCTCCTTTTGTCCGACTTGAACCGCAGCAGGGGGTACTCCCAGGACTGTGCTTGGGTTGTCCCTGACTGCTTTGTCTGGATTTGATATGTGTGTGACAGTGTGGCTCACGCTTTGTTTCAGACGGCTACTACATCTACCTGCAAGGGAGCAACGCCCTCCCCGGCTTTGTGGCTCACCTGATCAGCCCGGTGTGCAGTTCCGAAGGACCACACTGCTTCCGCTTCTGGTATCACATGTACGGAGTGGCTGAAGCAATGGCCCTGCGGGTGTATGTGGCTAAGGGCGAAGAGCTAGTGCTGGTCTGGAGCAGTGCTGGGAACCATGGGGACAGATGGATCTTGGGAGAGGTCACAGTGCACAGCACAGGAAACATGCGGGTAAGGGCAGGGGCTCTCACTGCCATCTGAGATGAACTGTGCTTTGTAAAGGAACTTCACACATGCGGCCAGAGCTAATGCTGGGAACCATCCCTTCCGTAGATTGTCCTGGAGGGAGAATGGGGTGAAGATTTCCGGAGTGACGTAGCATTGGATGATCTGTCCATCGAAAAGGGATCCTGCACAGGTACAAGGCTCGGCCTGGGGAAGGGCAGCTTGAGGAACATTACGCTTCTTGTGGCAGTCAATGTAGTTTCTGTCTTGAACAAGAGCTGCCTGCAACAAATGTCCCACATTGGTGCAGAGCTCCTCTAACTCTCTCTTGTGCTAGGTCCATCGACACCAAAACCCACCATCCCCTTGCCAAGCACTACAACACAGCCTCCACGCACGCCGTCAACACCAAGACCCACACCGAGCTCAGGTACTGCCGTGTTCCATTCCCATCTTCTACTGCTTGTTGAAACTGTTCATTTCACTTCCTCCAAGGCCCACCACCACGCTATGGAGTGTCTGTAGTGAAGGGGCTGCGCGGCTCTTTCTATCCTCCCGCTATGCTGGTGGATGAGCACTTGAGCGCTGGAATTTTTGCTGAGGAGACACTGGGCAATCCCTGCCCTGGGCCTGCCTGGTCACGGCGTTGGGTGTTTGGGAAGGGTGGGCCAGCTGCCTGCAACAAATCTCCCAGGTTGTTGCAGAGCTCCTCTAGCTCTCTCTTGTGCTAGGTCCATCAACCGCAGGACCTGAGACCGCCTTGCCAGACACCACAACACAGCCTTTGCATACACCGAGACCCACACCGAGCTCAGGTACTGCCGTGTTCCCTTCCCCTCTTCTACTGCTTGTGGCAAGTGTTCGGTTAGCTTTCCTCGAGGCTCGTGGCCAAGGGATGGAGTGTCTGTAGTGCAGGAGCTGCGTGTCTCCTTTTATCACTCACCAGTGCTCTGTGGAGAGCGCTTGAGTGCAGAAACCTCTGCTGAGGAGACACTGTGCGATTCCTGCCCTGGGCCTCTCTGGTCACGGTTTTGGGGTGTTTGGGAAGGGCGGACCGGCTGCCTGCAACAAACCTCCATCTTGCCACTGACCACTTCTGTGTCTCTCCGTAGGTCCGCTTCCTTCTACACCCTCGACCCCATTGCCAGACACTACGACGGAGCCACCACGCACACCAGCAACACCACCACCTGGGACCACCTCAGGTACTACTGTTATTGGTGGCGTTTTGAGTCATCTTCAAAACCCATAGTGGATATGCCGGGCAATGCTTTGTGTCACTCTCCTGCCGTACTGAGACACACATTGAGTGCTATTCCCTTTCTGAGGGTTTGGGTGGGACGCCCGTGCTTCTGGCACTTAGGTGTTTGAGGAGGTTTGAACCGGATGCCTGGAAAAAATATTCCTGTCTTGATATAGATCTCCACTAATTCTGTCTCTTGGCAAAAGCAGTGGACCAGTCATGGTGCTGATGTTCTTTGTGCAAGGTGGGCTGGGGAGAAGAGGCAGCAGGAGGTGCTTAACTGAATGTTTCCTCTGGTCTTTCATTAGGTCATTTAGCAAAGAGCCATCCAATTAAATCCTCATGCTACAAATATAAATTCAAAAGATGAAGAAGTTGAGCAGAACTTCAGAAAAGGGGATTCAAGGAGACACAGGAAGCTTTCAAGTGCTTAGCACCTCTGGAAATCTGGCTTCTAATCTAAGCTTCTAATGGGCTTCCAGTATTCACTTTAGAAGATGATGTTTGAACACTTTTGACCTACGACCAGAATTGGGTCATGAAAGACCAGAATTGGGTCATGAAAGACAACATACACTGTCGGTTAAGGGCTCAGCCAGGGACAATTGAGCACTTGTCTAACAGATCACCACTTTGGCTTTAATACAATATTTTATCTTTTTGAGAAGTGCTACTGCATCACATACCCAACCTGTCTACAGCTTCAGGTTTTCACCAAACATGCAAAATAAATTATAGAAGTATATAAACCAGGGCTTTAAAATTAATAAAGGAGAATCCTGCAGCTTGAGGTCCATTCAACCTTGCAGTCACAGCACTACAGAGGTACAAGGCTTGGCCTGGGGAAGGGCAGCTTGAGGAACATTGCGCTTCTCGTGGCAGTCAGTGTAGTTTCTGTCTTGAACAAGAGCTGGTCAAGGAGGACTGATTTGCTTCTACCATCTTCTACCATCTCTTTCGTAGGCGATGTGACTCCGACACCACCAGACACCACCACCACCACCACCAAACCTTCAACAGGGCATCCCACGCCACCACCCGTGCCAGACTCAGGTGAGTAGAGTAGACCCGTCATGGGGCCACCGTCCTTTGTGCAGGGCCTGCTGGGCGGCAGAGGCGGCAGGAGGTGCTTAACTGAATGTTTCCTCTGGTCTTTCCACTGTGAGCAGGGACCTGTGTGGTGGAGGGAGACCCTCACTACCACACGTTCGACAAGCAGCTACACCACTTCATGGGCACCTGCACCTACACCCTCTCCAAGCTGTGCGAGAGCAACAGCTCGCTGCCCTACTTCAACGTGGAAGCGGCCAATGAGCACAGGGGAAGCAACACGCGCGTGTCCTATGTCCGATACGTGGATGTCGACGTGGCTGGCCAGCGGATAAGGCTGGGGAAGGGTGGAGCAGTGACGGTAAGCGCAAGGAGGAGAGGCGGTGGGGCTGGGCGAGAGGACAGAGCTGCGCCAAATGGGTTGCTCCAACCCTGTCTCGGTTTCTGCCCTTGCAGGTCAACGGAGTGGCAGAGCTCCTGCCCTGCACCCCATCCGTGGGCGTGCAGGTCTCATCCAGCGGGTTCTACACTGTGGTCACGACAGACTTTGGCTTGAGAGTGAAGTTTGATGGGAAGCATCGGGTGGAGGTGACGCTTCCGAGCACCTTTGGGCAGAAGGTTTGTGGCATGTGTGGGAACTACAACGGGATGGCAGCAGATGACTTCCTGAACCCGGAAGGGGTGATGGAGCCAGACTCCACCAGCCTGGGCAACAGCTGGCAGGTGTCCAACGACAGCAGGTGCGTGTGGCCCCCCAGCAGGTCTGGGGACGTGTCGGGCAAGGGGAGGGGGAGGCACCAGGAGAAGCCCGCGGATGACCCAGGGGCCCTTCTGCCTGTCCTTCCACAGCTGCGCAGCCGGACCGCTCCCCACCCCAGCCTGCAATGAGACGGACAAGCAAGTCATTGCCAGCAGCCACTTCTGCGGGCTCCTCACTGACACCAGCGGCCCGTTTCAGATGTGCCACGCTGTGGTGAGCCCCAGCGATTACTTTAACACCTGCCTTTATGACCTGTGTGAGCTGGGGCTGGATCGCGAGGCCCTGTGCAAGAGCTTGCAGTCCTACGCGGACGCCTGCCAGTCGCTTGGTGTCAAGATACCTGCGTGGAGGAACGCAACCTTCTGCCGTAAGTCCACACGCGGTGCCGCGGATCGTTCCTCTCAGGAAAACACAGAACAGGAATGAAAGAGTGGGGTGGGGAATAAGAAGTAATTTTATTAGGTGCCGTGGGGATTTACAGGTAGTTGTCAGTATTAGAGGCACCATTTTCTGTTTCATTTGATCAGGTGTGACTTAGAATACTCACGGAGCCAAGCAGACCACAGAGAAAATATAGACTCTTAATTTTTCAGAGGGGAAAATACAGAGCAAAGCAGTGTTATGTTCCCCA